CACAAATTTGTAAGCCAGTTAAACAGGTCGTTTTCTCCCCTCGTCTGGCCACGCAATTATTCCTGCTTCCTTTCCCTGAGTGAGGATTTGCTGCTCGTGCACAAAGCTCGCTCACTGCCTGCCTGAGGACTTCAGGCTCTGGCACATGCGATCCCGGTAGCTGTGGGTTGTCTCTCCCCCCTCACACGCCCTTAACTTCGGCTCCAGACATTCTGTGGCAAGAATGAAAGCTCTTTTAAAACAGCAGGGAGACGGCAAAGCAGCCCAGGTTGGTAGTGGCTGAGAGCTGTTATTATCCGCTGGCATCCATGAAATTAATCCACAGCAGAGAAACTGCTTCCAGCTGGTGGCCACCGGCCAAAGGGGCTTCACACCCACCCCAGCATCGACCGAGGGTCTCACCGGCCGCTCTGCGTTAGCGATCCGTGGATCCTCCGGGGAGCAGTTGCGGAAGGGGGTGTCAGATGCAGTTCCCCAAGTTCCACGTGGATCTGAGCAGTTCATTTCTAGTGAGACAGTTTTGCTCCTCCGAGAAGTGGAAGCGCTAACAGCCAGGTTTGGAAGATAAAATGGAAAGGGAGGAAAAGAGTTGGAGGTGTGGGGACGCGGGTTGTCTCCTGGGGGATGTTCATTTGCTCCTTGCTAGAGAGGAGTGTGCGATAAGCGAGCTGCTTGCTTTAGTGAAGTTGCTGTAGACTGGCCATTACTTACTCTACTCTAAAAGTGCCACCACGGTTCAACTCTTGGGTTTGTTTTTTTTTTTCTGTTGGAAGACATGAAGGGTATGTGGGTTTGTGGGCCTGTAAAATACAGGGCAGGGAGGGGAGAAAGAACTGCCTGATTGTTAAATAAAAAGCCATCCTGTCCCCCTGATTTGGGATCTCTGCTGAGCTGTGAAATGTGAGGCTAAACCAAAACTAGAAGAATGGAACTTGTGTTTCACTTCTAATGCCACTGTGATATAAGATGCAAAAATGGCTTGGTTATGGATTGGTTTTGGGAGCGATGCCTTTGGCGTGATCCAACATCAGGATAACTCAGTTCTTCCTTCATTTACCCTGGCTTGCTTGGCTGATGTCAGTGGGGTTCTTCTCATGGATTAACCGCAGCGTCAGGAATGAATCCAGGCCAAGACCATCCCAGGAAGGATATGTTACTGTTTCTTGCAGAACACTCACTTATAACTGAGTTAACAACAGCGACTGATGTCTTTGTGCCATGCTCCTGTTTTAGTTGTGGAATTGCAAGCAGAGAGGGTAGGATGGACACAATGCCCTGCTCCTGGTGGAGCCAACTTCCCCTTGCTGATTCAGGATAGGGGTGGCATAAAAATAATCTGCAAAAAATGTCAGGCAACCATCTCCAGGACTCTTCTTGCTTTCACGGGAACAAATAGCCAAGTTGCATCCACGATTTTTTTACATCCTTAAGCTGCAGGTGAGGGATTACAGCACCTGCCCCCCCCTCTGGGGATGTGCTGGGTGTGTGAAGGGAAAGCTGCTGACCCAGAGCCTGGCAGTGCAGGATCACACCCCTTACTTCTGCCTGATCGTGGGGACTGGAGGAGGCAGCTCGGGCTCTGGTGACTCCTGTGCAGTGACAGGGGCAGAGCCCTTCACTTCTCAGCAGATGCCCTGTCACTGCAGTTTTTCTGCCATGTGAGGAAAAAGAACAGCAAAAATTTATCTGCCAACGAAGAAAAGCCTTGAAGAGTAAAAGCATTTTGGTGATTGTTGGTCCGGACTCACACAAATAAACTCTTCATACAGCCACATCCATTCAAAACTGCTACACGGGAGGTTAAAGTCCATGCCCGATTATCTAAAAATGACATCAAAAGGGTGCTTGATCAGGAAACCAGCAGGTCTATATTTGTGCAGGAATTGATGTTTGCTGAAGTCGCAGATCTCAACTGAATACAACTTCCTGGCAACCTAAAAAGTCAAGTTAAAAAAAAAAAAAACAAACCCACGCCACACAGTCCCCCCTCGTTTCCCGGAAAACTTTTTGGTGCTCAGTCATCCTGTATCGTGGCCGTTTCAGACACGGCTCTGTACGACTGAAATAACTTCTGCAAAAGGCAGAACAAGGATGTTACAGGTCTTGGCCTGATTTTCTTTTTAGGTGAAACAGGGTTTATTTGAGTTTCTTGCTCCCAGTCTACCACCTGAGCCTACCTGCAAAGCCCAGCCTCTTCCTGACCTTAGCAGGGATCAGAAGAAAATGCGGGTGCGTGGCGTATTTAAGCTGGTTTTCCTCTTTTTGTGGGTGCGATCTCCCTCTTTGGAATAACAGCTCACCCTGATGGCAGCTGCTGTCCAAGGGCGTGTTCACTGGGAGTCTGGTGCAGGGAAACAGATTCATCAGCAAGGCTCTCCTCCTTATTTTTGGAGCTCATCCATCTGTACTCTCTCTGTCCTGGCCATGGGGGTGTGCAGCTTCAACTCCTTTCCATGCACGTGGGATTTCCTCCTGTTATGAAACATGATGTCTGAGCTCCAGCCAGTCCAGCTTGTGCAGCGAGGGCCATTTTGGCATGTCTGGGGCTCTCCTTTGTCGCTCATCCACTTTTTGTGTGCCGGCTTTCTGCAGCAGGATTGCTGCTATTAGACATGAAGACATGGAGGAAACCGAGTCTGGGGGACAGTGGGGTTTCTGGGAGGGGGCTGGAGGATTTGGGCTTGGCCTCTCCTGACAAGTCACAAGGTTGGCAAGGTGTTTGTGTAAAGGGATTTGGCTCAGTGAGGGATTCCCCTCACCTTGCTCCAGGGAAAGAGGCTTATTGAGAGGTCCATGGGATGTTGGGAGAAGCAGGAGGCTCCAAGGGAGGGGATATGGGGATCCTGCCTCTGCAAAGGCTCTTCCAGCACACTGGAGAGGAGGAAAGTCTCATCTTCAACTAGTCTGGTGGTGAAGGCATCAGCTAATAAACCCAACTGCACCTGCTCCCTGTCTTAGGTTTCCCGTCTCTGTTTGATGAGAATAGTGACATTGGATTTTTCTGATGGTTTCTTCAATGCAGGGAAGTTCTGCATCCCCTGCTTTTCACCAGGCCTGCAGAGCCAGCAGCATCCCAGTGCAGGACACTGGAGCTCTCCGTGCTGCTGCAGGCAGGAGAGAGCAGGCTGTGACAAACAGCAAGGAGCTAAAGGGAGGACAAAAAAAACACCCCCACTCTTGGTGCTGCCTTCTCTGCCAGTCCTTCCCACGCAGGAGCCTGCAGGGAACATTTTAGTGCAGACGGGATGAAGTCCTGGCCCTCGTGGGATTTGGCCAGGGGAGTTGTTTTGGGCACGATGACCAAATGTAGACCCAGAGGAGAGGCTCGCAGAAGTGGCCTTGAGCTAAAATATGAGTGTTGCTACTGATGCCAGCAGGATCCATGCTGCTGGCATTCATCAGAGAGCTGGAGCAGCAGAGAGGAGAGGAGGGTGCTAATTTTCAAGGTGCACTTGGTGCACAAGTTAGCAGTGAGTACCTGCACAGAGGAGGTAGTCCAGGGTGGACTTGTACTTGCTGCCATCCCAACAGTGTCCCCAGGGGTGACCGGGGTCTGTGCCCACTCCCCAGTCCTGTGGGAGCTGGTTGAGTTTTCCTCTGGAAGATGCCAGTCTCTTCCCTTGTGATGTGGTAGGGAGGGATCATGTTTGGTGGGTGCTGAGATCTTCTCTGGGAAGGCTTTTTCATCATGGAAAGTGCTCTGAATATAATTCCTTCTCCCTTTCCTCCTTGCAGGATACAAAGGAGGAGGTGTCAGAGAAACCAAAGTCTGCTCCAACTGCAGAGAAATATGGCTGGATTAAGAAAAGCAGTGGGGGTCTCCTGGGATTGTGGAAGGATCGTTACATCCAGCTACGGAAAACACAGCTCGTGGTCTACGAGGACGAGGTATGATTCCAGCTAACAGCCTTCAGTGAGGGGCAGGATCAGGCCCTTGGGGACACATGTATGTCCCTTTGTTTTTCACTCTTCCCTGCAGCCCATTCCTTTCAAAAGACCTTCTCCAGTTTACTCCAGGAAGGGTAAACGCTGTAAAGAAGAGGCAGCAGCTGTGTTTTTGAGTATATTATATATCATAAATATTTTAGCCAGTAAATATTTTGACAGTGCCATTGCCAAATAAGAAAAAAAAAGAGGGGGGCAGGACATCCTGTGAGAAGGTGAATGGAGTAAAGCTTCGGGCGGAAGCAGGATATGTGCAATGTGGTTTTGGCTCTTGAAGGATAAAAGTGGATTGTAGCAGGCTGACTTCCCACCTGCTGCTTGAGGGGATGGCAGGCAACCCTGCAGCTGTTTGGCACCCCTCAAGCCGCTCAGATTGTTGCTAACCAGACTCTTCAGGGTTTCCTTTAGCCACTGATGGATGCAGGGTGAGCTTTTTGTGTTTGTTGTCCTCTTTAAGCAGGGACGCAGTCTGGATTTGGCTCATCTTTTCCCTTTACTTGAGCCAGTTCTGAGCGAAGGACCCCTGGGAGCCTTGTCCTGGACTTCCCCAGATAAACTGCATGCCTTGAGTTCATGGCTGCGATTAGAGCTGTTTCCAGACAAATGAGAAACAAGAGCCAAGTGAAATCTGTGCTGCGTTTTCAGGCAAGAAGAATGAGAAGTGCAGGGCTGGTCCTGCTGGGTTGCAGAGGTGGCTCTTTTTCTGAGCCAGGCCCTCGGTTCCTGGGCTGGAAGCAGCTTCTGCAAGAGCAGATTTTGCCCCAAAAATCAGAAATTCCAGTGCAGAGCACAGGCTTCAACCGAGAGAGGTTGGAGGTGAGGGGTGGATAAGTCTGAGCCCTGCTGGTATGTGGTGGCTTGAGGTCTGTGTGTGCAGCAGGATGGGGGAGCGTGGTCTGCACGAGGACCACGTGCCTGTGCGGTGTCTGACCCAAGGGGGTCTGGGTCACGTGTGGGCATCAGGATGATATAAAAGCAAAATCATGTAGTGCATCATATGCAGCGTGTCGAGGGAAGAAGAATGGGGAAATGTCTCAGCAGCTGCACTGCTGCGATGATTTCAGGAACAACGGGACCAACAGCGAGTTCGGTTCTCTTTTTTTAAAAACATACCATTGCCTAATAAAGAAGATTTTGTTATAAACAGATTAGGTGAAAGGGTATTACCTCCTCCCTTTCGCTGAACCCTCCTGCTCTTCCCAAATCCCAAGGCTTTCCGCAGGCATTTGTTCTCAGCTGTGAAATGTCACGGAGAGCACAAGAATAATGACAGGAGAAGTCGATGTCAGGTGATGAGCAGCTCAGAAGGCAGGAAAAGCAGAGGGGGGGTTCTCATACACAGGGAGATGCAGCCTGGTCCTGCAAACTGTTGATTCTCTGCAGACCATTTCCCAGGGCTCTGGACACTTGTTGACTCCAGGAACTTGCAGATTCAAAATCTATGAACGTGACGTAGGTTTTTTCGAAAAGGCCATGCCTTTAAAAACAAGATACATGGGGGCTCTCATTACCACAAGGGAAAAGGAGGCTTTTAAAGTAAGATTAATTTTCACAGACAATCACAAGAAGGAAAAATCCCAATCATTTAAAGGTTTATTTTATTATCTCAACAAGGAAAATGGCATTTGTAGCAACCAGGCATAATGTTTTCTGGTAGCCTGCGGATTGTGGTAACATCCTGTAATAAATTGCATCTGTAAGCTACAGTAGCTGCAAGGTCCCATTATTGTAAATAAGGGATCATGTTAATATCTATAGGCTATTAAACTGGCTTACAGTGAAGTCAGATGTCTTGGGAGAGGAAATTGCAGCAAAATTATCTGGTAGCACAATAGGATAGCATGTGATTGTGCAGACTTACTACAGGGGAACCAGAGGAAATGGCAATTTTCTGCACTCAGGAGGGGTCTTGTTGCCACAGAATTGAGACAGTTCATGTTTATTACTGTATTTATCTTCCTTTATCGTGAGTCAGGCAGGTTTGGTTGTCTCCATCTTACAATTGGGGAACTAAGCTTTTGAGATGGGAAGGGCCAGTGTGTAAGGAGAGCCTGCGATGCAGCGTGCTGTGGTGGGTTGTATTTCTGGAGCTCAAGGTGCCATTCCACCCCCGCCCCCGAATCTTCTCCAAATACCTGCTTTGTGTGACCCTGGAGAAGGACACAGCATCCCAGACCATCCTCAGGCTGAAACATTTTAAAACGTGGTTGTTCGGTGCTTCCTCGATTGGAGCCCTGGAAGAAGAGAGGAGATAAAACCTCAGGCAACAGAAATACAGGGATATTTCCACATGAATCCTAAAGTAGACCTAGATGGGCTAAATGGGAGGGAGGTCAGCTTCCATGTGGGCAGGCAGGTTTAGAGGCTGAGTATTTCAGCTGCTCTGAGCCCATCAGATTTCCAGGAACTGTTCATGCCTCGGACTCGCTGTGCTTTTATCAGCCCCTCCCGTGTCCAGCCCTTCACCAAGAGGTGCTGATGTTGCCTTTAGCAGTTGTTGGCTGTGCAGGCCGCCCAGTTGGTGCAGTTGCATGAGACTGGCTGCACTTGGAGCTGAGGTTTAGGTGCAAAACAAGAGCAGAGGGGACGGGCAGCACAAGATACAGGCAGGAATGTTGTACCGTGTCACCGGAAAGCACAGTCTGAGCAGCACACAAATACTGTATTTATCATCATCAACAGCAATCTCCTGGAATGAGCTCCTGACCTGCCCTGGGAGCGTGTTCCCCATGTTGCATCTGTTAGTTAGGCTTTGGGTTTGGTTTAAAGCAGTGCCACCTCCTGAAGGCAAATGGCCAGTGGTTATTGTGTTCCCTGGAGCAGATGGGGTGAAAGTCATCCCGCCCGGCTTCGGGTTTCTTTCAGCGGGTGGGAAATGAAGGGAAATGGATTTCTTGTTATCTGCTGTGCCTCCATCTACAGCACCCTACATCTGTACCCTCACCTAAATGAAGACTCATTTAAGCAAGACATTTGTATAATAATTACATATCCAAATCTCAGGAAAGGAGGCACTGATGCAAATACTGGGATCCTGAGAAACTGCTGTGCAGGTCCACACAGAACCAAGCAGGTTATTTTCTAATAGGATTTCATGTCTTCTTGTCTCTACATATTCTTGCCAGAATAAAAAAAACTCCAGAGAGCATCTGAAGACCAGGCAATGCTATGCAGAGAGACTAAACAGATCAATATCATCACTCCATGGATTAGAAAGCATCAGTCTTGGGTTTGAAATTTTTCCCCAAACAGTACAGCTAGTGCTTGGAGTTGTTTTCTTACTAGTTTAGAGGGGTTTTTTAAGTGTATTATTTGACAGGAAAAAATCCTACTAGACAAAGTCTTTTAGAGGTCAAAGGGTCCTCTTGGCATTCAACAGTCAGGCAGTTGCTGTCTGTATTTTGCCCCTGGTAAAGTGATAGCAAGGTATACCCAAAAGTGATTTATTAAAACACTTTGAGAGCCTCAGGTAGAGAAATAAATTATTATTTCAGATCTAGACATTTTACACTGAATGGAGGGTCCCAGCTCGTGAGTGTGTGTCAGTGAGGAGGTCTTTGCTGAGAATTATGCCTTCACACAAATAAAATTTCAGGGAGTCTTTTTCCGCCCTTTTTATCAACTTTTCATTAAGGAGCTTTGCCAAGTGTGATTCTTTGGTTAAGCACATGCATTAATATGTCCAGGTGTTCAGTAGTTTTCTTCTTAAGGGCCAAGTCAACAGACACAGACATGTTTAAGTCACAGGATCTGCTCCATGAATAGCTAATGGAATAGTCTTTCTGCATTAAATCAGGAATGTAGGGGTTCCTGTACCAGGACTGAGCTTGTCCAGAACCTGTGTCTGACACCTGTGTGTTGGGGCAGGGCTCTGGAAGTGACCTTGTCTCTGGGTGATGCTGAGTGTCCTGCACATCCCAGGAGGTTGAAGGGACCCAGAGACCTGTGACAGGGTTGGGTATTTCATTCTTCATTCTTCACCTTAGTGGTGCAGGACACACATAAAGGATCTCTTTGTGACCCAGGTAGGCTCACAGAGAGGGGGTGGCTGCTTGCCAAGGGTAAAACAGAGACAAAAGCCCCATTCTGGTGCTCCCTGAACTCAGATGCTTTGCCTTTGCCTCAGACATGGAGTTTTTATATTTCTCTGTCTGCTTTCTTCCCCACCCTCCCTGAAGAGGATAATTCACTGGAGAAGTTCAGGTCCCTGAGAGGAAGGAGCCATTGCTTGCACACTCAAGCCAGTGTCCCTGGGAGAGAGGGTCCTGCATGTCCCCGTCCTCTCTGCCCTTGTTCCCTGGCCAGGCCACAGTCCCCAAGGCCTCCCCAGGGCGGAGAGGGGCAGCTGGAAGGCAAGAGGCAATTTCACAGTGAAACCACAGCTCTCCACCCTGCCAAGTCCTCCTTGTTCCCCAGCTCGGTGCTCCACAGTCCTAAGGAAGCGGAGGACGGCTCGCACGGGATCCGAGGAAAAGTTCCCGCCCAAGAGGCAGGAAGGATGGGGTGGACAAGGAGGGTGACAGGGAGCCACTGGGCTCTGCTGGGGACAGAGCTGCTCTTGAGAGCAGGGAGGGTGGGCAGGAGCCGTGGTGCTGGTCTCCGGTCGGAGCGCTGCCAAGCCCTCCACATCCTGAGCCCAGCGAAGGAGCTGGAGCTGCACCGGCCGCGCGGCAGGGCTGGAACGTGGGCGGTCATCCACCCAAGGCCAGGATGAGATCACCCATCCCCGAGGCATGTATTCCTGACCTCACCCTCCTCTGTCATTTGTGGGCCGCTGAGGGGTTATTATTTCCATCCCCGTCCTTTTGCAGTGACATTGCGATACCAGGATTGCAGCAGGAGCCTTCGAAGGGCTCGGTAGCGTCAGCAGGATTTTATCGGCCGGGTTTTAGGTTTGGGCAGGATTAATCTCCTCCTCCTAGTATGCATTTTCCCAGTTCACATTCACCTACTCAGTGTTAAATGACATAAACAGTAATGTCATTAAAATAATAAACCTAAATTAGATCCAGACGTCCCTCGGTGGCTCAGACCTTGCTCTGTGTATCGGCATCGGCTCTGCCGGGCCCCCATCCCCAGGTAGGAGGGTTAAGAAAACTGAAACACAGCCTGGGCTCTGCACAGCAACTTAAATGTCAAGTGGCAAAGGGAGGAAATTCCCCGCAGCCCACTTCCCTCTGAACTCTCCATTCCCTGCCTCCAGCCACGCAGCAGCTTCCTGGCTGCGACATGTTTCCTCATCCCACACCCCCTCTCCGCTATGGGAATTGCTAAATACAAACTCATACGGGCACAAGGAGCTGCCTTGGGAGCGGAGGCTGAGCTGGGGCTGGTTATGGCCAGCGGTTTTAATTCGGGATGATAGTGGAGAGGCTCATGGGCTACGCTGACTGTAGCACTTCCTCAGTAAGAGCTGCTCTGAGATTCTCACTGCTCATTTGTGCTTAGCTAAAGGGCGCTCTGGTCTCTGCTGGGCTACTGAGACATGAAGAATATTCTCTGCCCAGCGTTACACTGCGATTCCTATTAGGGCTGGTGCTCCGCAGCTGAACTGAGCCACGCACCACGTGTGGAATCTTAGTTATGTTACTGGGAAAAATGAGCCAAGATCGTGGCCGGCAGTCATCAGTGGAGATACTCCAGAGATAAATATTCCCTGCTGAGACAGTGGCCCAGACAGTTCTGCTGCCTGGATGGGACCGTATTTCCAATCCTAAGCGTTTTGACAGCTCGGAGTGTGGCTGTGAGAGGACTCTGTCTGTCACACGTGGCTCCCACTGACCTCTTCGACGTGAGGAGCAGCCACCCCAGCTGAGCCTGGCATCAGGGCTCCCCTCTTATCCCTGCTCTGCCTCGGGCTTCCTGGGGGGCTGCTTGGACCATCGGGATGCTTGTGTCATCTTCCCTGTGAGGAAGCAGGATCACGTCTCCTGCTTTCATTGTTGAGAGGAAGTAGTGTCACTTCTGGCTGCAGATCCCTGGATGAGGCCAATAGCTATGGCAGGAGCTGGTGTTACTCTCCATAACCTGTTATTTGCTCAGCCACTGTGGACCACTAAGACTGTGGCTTAAAGACCAGGGTGTTTTCTTAGTGAGGTGCCAGCCCGATTTATGGGGCTTGCTGTCTGCATGCGGGTTATTTTTAAGGCAGAAGAGCTTTTAGACAGATGCAAGATGGTAAATGATTGATCTCAGTGCCTCCTATTCATAATACTGTTTCATTCCCTCTCTGCAGGATGAACAGAAGTGCATAGAAACAGTGGAACTGGAGAGTTATGACAAGTGCCAGGAGCTGCGTGCGCTACTAAAAAGGAAAAACCGTTTCATTCTAATCCGCTCCCCGGGTAAGAAGGTAGGATTGCCTTTCTCATCACCCTCCAGCCTGCTAACTCCGAAATGAGCTCCCAGGCAGCTGTGCCCAGAGCAGATGAAAGGCTCTGAGGTTTAGGTCCTGGGCAGCTGGGAGTGTGTAAGGAGGAACAACACTGACATGCAGACTTTCTTCCTGTCATGGGGAAAGGGGTCTCGCCGTGGCTCAACTTTTTCCTCTTGGTATTTTTCCTGCCTTGTCACTTTCTTTCTTCCAGTACTCCCTGTGCAGTGGAGAATGACCATTCCCTGTGGTTCTCCCATGTGCTCTGGGTGAGGATGTGTTGCTGTCCCAGCTGTAGGTGCTGCAGTTTTGCCCAGTTTCCAGTGAAATCAATAATCCCAATTCATGTAGTGAGACAGTTCCTGCATTTGGAACTGTTGATCTGAGAAACTCCAGTGCAAAGTTACTTGCAGCCAAACAGTTCGTAGGAGAGAAGATTTATTTTGCAGAATTTTTGAAACTCCACCTCTGTAGCTTCCTGCACAGCATCTGGTTACATCCAGAACCTAAAACCAAGGCTGGTGTTGCAAAGAGACTGTACATCCACGTGAGCACTGGCTCATGCAAGGACACCCTGCCTTACTTCCTATCCAGGTTCATCATCACTACACATCTTTGGAAGTTCTCCTTAGCTCCTACTTACGTGCTATCCCTTTCAGCATTGTTGTGGGCTTCATTGTTGCTTTGGGACATCACACTCTGACTTATTTCTAATTTCACTGTGATTTTATTAGCCTAAGATTCTCACTAAGTCTCCCCCAGCAAATCCGAGAGGTTGTGAGGGACAAAGCACATTCATTTCCATAAGAACATGAGCAGGCAAAAATACCAACTTGCTGCATTCCCCCATCTCCATTTTGT